TGGGTGGGTGGGTGGGTGGGTGGGTGGATAGATGGATGGATGGATGGATGGATGGATGGATGGATGGATGGATGGAGAGTGCAATTATATGAGGGAGTTGTGCAGAAATCCTTGTTACTGGCGTGTGTGTGTATGTGTGTTGTTGGCTGGTGTGGTGTGGGTTGGATACTAAAAAGATGAGTGTTGGGAAAATACCAGGATGCTCATAATGAATAACAATTTGTTAAAATGGACCCTAAATATACAGAGTAAGATGGCTGAGGTTTCCTCTGGCCCAGGGATTCCCAAACTGTTCAGCTCAGAGATCCCTTCATGAACTTTCAGATTATTCCTCAACCCCCAAACATTTACTATCTGAAAATAATTTAATAAATACTACTTTAACTAACAGTACTATGAATAATAGCAAGAACAATGACTAGCTCCATCAACCCTGGGTATGGGGGGCGGAATGATATTGGCCACTTTGGAGAATCCTTCTCTAGCCAATCCTTATGGGGAAGCATTACAATTGGTAAACAGACAGTTCCATCATGGTTTTCACAGCAAGAGTATTTGCCATAATTTTCTCCTCCCTTTCCTGGCTGAGGAATTCTGGGAGTTGAAGTCCACAAGTCATAAAAGGGCCAAGTTTGAAGACCCCTGCTCTAGAGAAAAGAAGGACTAGGGGGGACATGATAGCAGTATTCCAGAATTTGAGAGGCAGCCACAAGGAGGAGGGGGTCAATTTATTTTCCAAAGCACCAGATGGCAAGATAAGAAACAATGGATATAAACTAATCATGGAGAGAAGCAACCTGGAATTAAGGAGAAACTTCCTAATAGTGAGGACAATCAACCGGTGGAACAGCTTGCCTTCAAACGTTGTGGGTGCTTCATCACTGGAGGTTTTTAAGAAGAGACTGGACAGCCACTTGTCCGAAATGATATAGGGTCTCCTGCTTGAGCAGGGGGTTGGACTAGAAGGCCTCCAAGGTCCCTTCCAGCTGTATTCTGATTGATCCTTGAACTGTAAGATTCTCATGGCAGCCAAAGACTCATGCAAGAGGGCCTTATTTCAGCCAACAGACAAGAACGGCTGCCTCTGCTGCTGTCTTAATGTTTTGCAGCTGGAACCGACAATGGATGTTTGGGCAGAGCTCTAACAGCCAGCAACTGATGCTGAAATTAACCATGACACAGGACATTTCAACCCAAGATTTAGCATCAACCCAACATTTCAACATCAGGGTGTTGCCAAGCAGGAACCAATCCTTTCCATACATACTGTAGGTATTGTTCCTAACCATCATGTCACCCAAATGTGTTTTCTGATGTCACACACAAGCACCACCATTTCATATTGTGCAAGATAGGTGGCAAACTACTGTACTGATATACTGTAAATAAACAAACATACTTGCATCATGTACTACACATGTATACTGTGTAAGAATAAGTTTGCATTGCAAGGTGTGTTTCATCACAAGTCCTTCTACACACACACACACACGGATGCCTATGATTCCGTAGAATGATCTTGCTTTCTTGAATCTCCCATCCTTATTTTAGCTGAGCCATAACAGAATGCCAAAAATATATTCAACATTAACACCTTATCACTGTCTCTTAAAATGATGATGATGATGATGATGATGATGATGATGATGATGATGATGATGATGGTGATGATGATGATGATGGAGGAGACCTTAAAGGTCTTCTAATCCAACCCCTGCTCAAGCAGGAAACCCTGTACAATTTCAGACAAACGGTTGTCCAATCTCTTCTTAATAGCTTCCAGTGATGGAGCACTCACAAGTTCTGAAGGCAAGTCATTCCACTGAATAATTGTTCTCACTGTCGGGAAACTTCGCCTTATTTCTAGGAAGGTTCTCTCCTTGATCATTTTCCATCCATTGCTTCTTGCCCTGCCTTCAGGTGCTTTGGAGAATAGCTTGACTCCCTCTTCTTTGTGGCAGCCCCTGAGATATTGGAACACTGCTATCATGTCCCCCCTCGTCCTTCTCTTCATTAAACTAGACATACCTAATTCCAGCAACCGTTCCTTATATGTTTTAGCCTCCAGTCCCCTAATCATCTTTGTTGCTCTTCTCTGTACTCTTTCTAGAGTCTCAGCATCTTTTTTATATTGTGGCAACCAAAACTGGATACAATATTCCAAGTGTGGCCTTACCAAGACTTGCTCCAGTCTTGTGCTTTTCAGATGAATTACAATCCACACTCAAGGATTCCTTTGTTGATATTGCAATTGTGTTGTTTAGGCTGCAATTTCCCACCATAAGTATTCTGCACTATGCAACTCCTATTATTCCATCTGTGATTCCATTGGGCCTGCTTCCAAATGAGGCATGTATAGCATGTGTTTTTATTTGTACTTGAAAAACCTCCCATTATGACTTCCTGTTTTTGGAAGTCTTTCTTGAGTGATAGAGCTAAGAATCTTGTATCTGGAAATACCCAAAGTACATTTTGCTGCTGGCAGAGCAGATTTATTTCTGCCCATACAGTGTGATTTGCATTTTCTAACTGAATATGATAGTTTCAATCTGTCTCATACAAAAATAAGCAATTAGCAGCTTTCTTTTTCTTTTCTTTTTTCTTTTTGCATGGGAGAGCCAATTTGGCAATGCCACCAGTTGCTCTCTTCCAGAGAAATCCCTCTCTGTCTGGTCTATTCAGGAGGAGGAACTATAAAGTGTCAACTTCTTTTCTTATTTTTTTTCCAGATGTTTGAACAACTGTGGGGTGGTGGTGGTGGTTAAAGGTTACATTCCTTTCAAAATGAGAGTCAAACCACAGTGAAAACAAGCATTTCCTGACAACTGTGGCTACAAATATTAAGAGAAATTCAGCACCTTAGGCTTAGTATATGAAGAAAACATTGAATTTCTGTGCACTATGCAACCCAAAGTGCAGAGTTGTTGTATAGAGGGGAAAATATACACTGCTTACTGTACTATAGTTCTGTGGGCTAATTCACCCAATATACTTTGTTATAATGTAGTCTGCTTGGGTTTTGATTATGATTTATGCCTTAGGATTGGTATTTTGCCTGGGTACTGGCTAGTTCAAAATTTTTCAGCTAGTTCCTTATATTTGGATTTTAGTTCCAAGAATTTTCCAGCCAGCACCAAATTTCGGCAGTTAGACCATAATGTTTGTGGTTAGCTATAGAGTTTATGAAACTGAGACATTTGAAGGGTTCAGATTAGTAGTTCTGTATAGAGGTAGGCCTTGACTTACAACCACTCATTCAGTGACCATTCAAAGTTACAATGGCACCGACAAAAGTGACTTTATGACCATTTTTTACACTTACGACCATTGCAGCATCCCCATAGTCATGTGATTACAACTGTCCCAGGGTCATGTGATTCCCCTTTTGCGACCTTCTGACAAGCAAAGTCAATGGGGAACCCAGATTCCCTTAATGACTGCATTTCTAACTTAACAACTGCAGTGATTCACTTAACAACTGTGCCAAGAAAGGTTGTAAAATGGGACAAAACTCACTTACCGGTAGCTACTGTCTTGCTTACTCACAGAAATTTTGGGCTCAATTGTGGTCATAAGCAGAGGACTACCTATATACTGTATTGGAAGAACACCAGTCTCTGTCCGTACTCTAGTGAGTCAGAACAATAAGAGAAAAGCCAGAAATCTTTAATACAGTTAAGAGTTTATTCTTTAATATCAATAAATAAGCAGCTAGAAGAATCTCTTCATTTCCTCCAAGTTGAGGAGTTTCATTTGTTTGTTTTTCCTAACAAAATGTTTCCTTCTGTTTATGTGTGCATTAAAAAATCCAGCCCTTGGCTTGAGGTGGGTTCTAGTCATGAGAAGGGGGAGGAGGGGGAAACGAACATAGTGTGGTCACTAATGCGGAAAGCACTTGGGACGGTATGTGTCCAAGTGTGTGTGCGCGTGAGCTTGTGTGTGCAAAGGCAAGGACAGGCAGGTGGCTCAAAATGTACAGAAGCCGAGTCGCTGGTGATGTTTGTGGGTTGGGTAGAGAAGCAGCTGGCAGGGAACATGGCGTGGCAAATGCCAGCATTGTGGCCCACACTAGCAATCCCACTAGCAGAGCAGTTAGGGGGGAAGAAAAACAATATTAAATAACAGAGGGGCACAGAAGCAGAGATGGGGAAGAAGACAAGACAGTGGGGGGTTTGGGAAATGGGCAGATCTTGACGGTTGGGGGGACGACGTGGTTATTTCCATGATGACTCAAATGTTCACTTCTTTCCTTCTAAATTGTCTGTAAAAAGGGAGGAAGAAAATAAAGAATAAAGGGCAGAGAATGAAGAAATCAAGACCCCCACACTGCAAGCAAGATGAATAACCTAGAACTAATTCCTGCAAAAATTGGTCTGCGATTGAGCTGAGAATGCAAGAGGCCTAATGGGGTTCTCCCCCTTTATCCAATAGCAAATGGTACTCTAGCAAGTAGCTATTATTGTTCCTGCTGCCCTTTTCTACCTCTGTAAGCATTTGTGCCTTCAGCTGATTATGAGACATATAATCTCATAATCTAGTAGCCATGTGTGTTTTCTACATCCTATTGGGGAAACCTGCCCTTCTAATTGGAGAAGGCATGCCAAATTCCATGGGCACATACTCCATTACTTTGAGCTTGCTTTCTCTTCTAATTATTACAATAAACCTTAGCAAGATTGTGTACTCCTTGGTATTTGTTGAGGGTAGTTTTTTAAAGTGCAGTCTCTCACTTTATGAATTCCTTCCTTAGAGACACATACCTGGTAATTATATCCAGAGTACTTTCTTTCCCTCCCAATCTTTTAAAGAAATGTTTATGCCTTCTGTATATTTTCAATTCTCTTTTTTTAGCATTTTTAAATGGTCCATGGTATACTTAATATCTTTTATTTCTGATTATTGCTGTCATGGAATCTAGTGAATGGTTTAAATAAATAGGTTGAAATTTAACAGACATCTCACTAGGTTGGAGAAAACTGGCCTGCATGTTACCTTAATACTAGAGAGAACTCTTAAAAAGAAAAACCATAATGCTGTGCCCAGTTTATGCTTAGAAAATGAGACAAACCGTAAAATAGCTTTCCTCTAGAGCTGAGACTTCTCCTGACATGAATTACCTTCCAGATGAAAAATCCACAGTAAAGCTTCATTTTTATTAACATCTGGAAGGTAATTCATGTCAGCCCTGCTATTATCATGTGGATAAATATTATTGTATGTTGTTCCAGCAGTGATGTTGATTTAAATTTTGCTAACTATTTATATGGTATTGTGGTATTTTATTGTGGACTGTACTGGGTATTGCTGAAATCTTCTGATTGTGGAGGTATGGGATGGATGGATGGATGGATGGAAATAGAGATAGATAGATAGATAGATAGATAGATAGATAGATAGATAGATAGATAGGTAGATAGATGAAAGAGAGAGAGAGAGATGATAGGTAGATGATAGATAGAGAGAGAGAGAGATGAAAGAAAGAAAGAAAGAAAGAAAGAAAGAAAGAAAGAAAGAAAGAAAGAAAGAAAGAAAGAAAGAAAGAAAGAAAGAAACCATATTACAATTAAGGCTCAAATAATTCTACTGCTTAAGAACTAATTTTACAAACTGAGTGGAAATTGCTTCCTGTGTGGCATTGGAGCCTTAGGGAGAAATCACTGCCCTGGTTTCATGCTAACCCCAGCGCAGAAAAGCTCACCCAACCCAGAACATCATTTTCTCCACAGCTTTGCCCAAGTATCCTCACCCACCTCTTAAGAAGAAACTGACAACACCAAAAGCAGCAGGCCCACAGAAGGAGCATCCCCCTTATGCTGTCCAGCAAATGTGTGGCCAAGCAAATCAGACGTTTGCGTAAGCATGACACAAAGGCAATAAAGGCACAGCTAGTCACAGTCAGGAAGGCTGTGGAAAGCAGAAAAGACCTCTGTGCAAACAAAGGTCAGGACAAGACTATCCTCTCATTGAGCCAAACACAGTGAAGTCAGAAACACCTAGGAAAGGGCACCAAAGCCAAAAATGGCCAGGAAAAGCACAATGTAAGAAAAGGTCCGACTAACAGAAGTACAATTTAGAATGTAGCATTTAGGGTTCGTAGAATCCAACAGATAAAATTGTAAAATGGTTTGCGCTGAAAGTTACCCCCCGTCTTTATTTTGTTAAAGGACCCTATGAATTATTCAGCAGTTTCAAAACTGAACTCTAAACTAAACCACTCTAGGATTCTTTAGAAATTTCTGAGATGTTCCTCAAAGGAAGGATCAGTAAACTCAGGCAGCAAACTTTTCCTAAGAAGTAATTTGCCTACCCTTCTGAGCTTCCTCTGCAACACAGGAACTGCAGAAGTCGTAAGAGGTGGTGATGGCCATTCATATAGGAGTCAGGTTTAATGTCAAAAAATGCTCCTTTTCCTCAATTATCTGTCTTTCGTATAACAACTGCTGAGAGTCTGGGAGATGACTTTGACAGAAATACACAAGATCCGTCACCAGCGTGATTGAGATATGTGTGAAAGACGTTTTAGGTCCACAACAGACGAAGCGGTTCAGATGCATTCCTAAATTACTGAAGTGTAAAAAAGAGAAGGCATAGCACAATCAGACCTGCGAGAGTCTGCTATTATAACCAAACTCAATAAAGCTATATTTTTTCCTTTCTCTGAAGTTGACTTCTTGGATGGAGTTCACCTAGTGGTGCTGACATCAATCTTGCAAATCTGATTATGTTGTACCTCCTTTTCTTATAGTTCAGTGAATTAAAGAGGGGGTCTGTCTAAACCGCTTCTGAATATTATGTCTCTTGTGAACATAAAATATGTTTCGTTCCTTTTTGCCCTAGTAATAAATCTCGCATATCTCTGTCAAGGTTATTTTCCCTACTTTTTATAGCAACATTACAGATACACTGGTTCAGCAGTCTTCTAAGAAATGCTTGGAATTGTAATTTTGCTTATTTGTATATCTTGGCACATGAGCAAAACTACAATTTCCAGAGTTTCATCGGACTGAGAAGCAATCAATAAAACAGATTATTGTTGTACCTTTCCTCCTCCTCCTCTCTTCATCACTAATTCATTTATATTCAATATTATGCATATAGGCTTCATTGGGGATGAAACAGAAGGTGGAGGAAGAGAAGAACGAGGATACACTTTCTGATTATTCCTCTATTCACATTACCTATGTCTACTATATAGGTAGAGTCACCAAGACTGGTTAGATCAGACTCCAACCTATTCTGTGAAGATCAGTGGATTAGACATGGTTCTATATTCTCTGAAATATTTGAAGTTTTCTAAGTAGATACACAAAGATTCCTTGGCAGATGTGTTAGTCCCACCATCTTAAAAATGCTAAATTTGAAACCCCTTGGAAATTCAGCCTGCTCTGTGGGCATTCAAAACATAATGTTTATAGTTGATGTTTATTGAAATGGCCACCACCATTCATTCCAGCAGGAAGTTGAATTTGTGGAATGTGGAGTCTTGCACTGATCAGATTACCATCAACCAAACATTTCCTGAAGGAATGGTACTCTTGGAATAATTCTCTTTCAGGGAAGGATTTTCTGTCTCTTGCCCTATGACGCAAGCCCTCTCCCCCTATGTGGATGGACCCTAGCTTCCTAGACAATGTCAGCTGCAGCAAACAGACTGTCCAAGCAAAAATAAAGAAACATTTTCCCCAGCTCCCCACAGATATTGCCTATTTTTCTGCATAGATCAACAGACAGATATGAAGGAATTGCCAGAGAACAAACAAGGCATGCAATTGAGGGTTGTGCAATAAGATACCTGGGAGGCAGGATACAGGAGAATACATGGGGAAGGAGTTTATGCTACAGGATGGAAAGGATAAAAGAAGCCAGAGTTAATAGAGATTAGGAAGGAAATTCACAAGAAGAGGAGAATATTATTAGTCTGGATGGAATGAGTAAGTAAAATAAATGAATGAATGATTAGCAACCCATAAAGGAGGGAGAACTCTTTAGAATAAGAGATATGCAAACAACTGTTCCTTTTCTCTTTTGCTATATCTTATTACCCAGAACTCCCAGATGGTTTCCCAAAGATGCTTTTTCAAAAGGTAACTCTTTGTTTTTCCTTGAAGAACTGAAGAAGCTTCTTGGATGAGAAGCGAAGCATCTTCAAAGAAAAACAAAGAAAATCCAGTTGTCTTTTGAAAAAAGCACCTTTGGGACAGCCGTGATCTGGATGACTAAGACTCTCCACAGACACCCAGATAGTTTCCATCTACCTCTGTGCTTCCTCTGGTCCAATAGGACCTACTTTAGCTTCAGATTTAAAAAGTGAAACCAAGGATCCAGGGGCAACTCCACAGTTTGACAAAATGGACTCTTTATCAGAATTGTACATTCCTTGGGACTGATATCAGATGCATCTGGATGTGCTCCATGGAGTTCAAGTGACAACCCAAGTGACTAAGGACTAAATCCTATATTTAAAGATGTGTTGCACTGAGTGCAGATGGGAATTCTAGACTAATAGATGAAATATCAGAGGAAGGCAGGAAATAATTACAGAGAGAAAGATCAGAAGGGAGGGGACATTCCATTTCTTATCTTCTCCAACTTGATGATTTTGTTTTCATGGATTCCATCTGGGAAATCCACTTCCAGTATGAAGGAAAAGGCAAAGAACTGGGAAGATAAAGTAGGTTAGGGAGGCTTACGCTCCAGATAGTTCCGGGCAACGAATTTGAGACATTCATCCAGAAAGATGACAGGCAAGGATATCTTCAACACCATGAGCCAGTGGTGCAAGTCCAAGTGTGTCAGTTTGAAGATCATCTGGAAAACACAAAAACAACAAAGGAGACATCAATAGAGAAATATGTATTTTCTTCTACCTTTCCACTCATAGTCAGAATATGTACTAAACTGATTTAAATGATAGGCTAAATTAGATATAATCGGCTGAATCCTGATTAAAGATTAGATTTAATAAATGGGACTTGTAACTCCAAGCACGTTGGAGTGTATAAATCCTTTGATGGAGGAATTCTGGAATGAATGGGAGAACACTTGAAGCATCTCTTTTGGAGCTATTATAGAAACTGTTTCTTCTAGACTGACTCTGCTGCTTTCAGAAGCTACTCTTAGATGTTTCCTTGTGAGCATGCATGCATGCATAGCTTCTTCACTTGTTATTTTCCCCAGCAAGCAGAGGTGGCTGTGCATATGCATACATGAAGAGGCAGCCAGAAACAGTTTCTGGAACAGCGGTAGAAGCCTGGAGCAGACTTCTCCAGCTAGAAGAATGATTTGAAAAAAGGGACTTAAAGCACACTGCTGTGCATTCTGAAGTATTTTTTTCAAAGGATTTGCATAATATTTTTCTTAATTTCTGTAGAATTCAGCAAGAACTGGGAGTGCAGTCCTCTGGCCATTTGGGCTAGGCCATGTCTCAGATCTGAAGGCAAAAAGGTTCATAGAGAAGCATGAATCTAGTACCCATCTGCTACTCCCTAAAACTTCTGGGTGTGTTTGTCATGTAGCTGTCCTCTTTAGGTGCCACATGATCCTGGAAATGATACAGTTGCTTTGAAGAGCTGAAGAAAAGTAATGCTTTATTTGCACCCCTGCAGACTCCATGGTCCCTTTTTATTTTTGAATCCAAAAGTAAAATCCCCCAGCCCTCACTGATCAAAAATACTGTGTGGTCACTATTACTTACAGGCAGGGGATCAACATAAAGGATGACAAAATGCAGAGACATGGAGAGGCAGATAGATCCCAGAAGCCAGATGTTCACCCAGGGAGGCATCCGTACCAAGGACTGGTTCTCTGAAAGGCTATTGTGAAGAGAGAAATGGGAAATTAAATCAAAGTTATGATCTCCACTGTGTTTTTGAAATGAGAGCCCCCAGTCTTAAATAATCAGTCGGTGCAAATATATAGCGACTAGTTCTCAAAAAAAAAAATGAGATACATGAGAAGTGAGCAGCTTTCCTTTGAGCAAAAGGTTAATTCGATAGATCTCAGCTCTGCAATGAAGGTCCCAGCCCTGGGAGTTAATAAATGGGTTTAGGTAGTTTTCGATTTACAACCATAACTGAGCCCAAAATTTATGTTGCTAAGTGAGACATTTGTTAAATGAATATTGACCTATTTTACAACCTTTCTTGCCAGAGTTGTTAAGTGAATTATTGCAGTTGTTAAGTTAGTAACACAATTGTTAAGTGAATGTGGCTTTCCCATTGAGTTTGATTGTCAAAAGGGGATCACACATGACCCCGAGACATTACAACCGTCATAAATATGAGTCAGTTACCAAGCATCTGTATTTTGATCACATGACCATGGGGATGCTGCAATGGATGTGTGAAAAACGGTCATAAGTCGCTTTTTTCAGTGCCGTTGTAACTTTGAATGGTCACTAAATGAACTGTTGTAAGTTCAGGACTACCTGTATTAAAATTTGGGTGCAGGATTCAATTAATCTCAGATTTCATTTTAAATCAACATCTTTATGACTTTGAAACGTGATCAGAATGGGAGAGCTAGTGATTGGAGGCCCTTGTTCTTTGCCCTCACTTCTGAACAGTAAAACATGAATTAATTATGCAAACAAGTAGATGTTTTAAATTAAGGATACTTGTCTTTGGGGCATGGCAATAATTCTGCTGCAATAGCTGGGAAAGTACTGCTTTGGTGCTAATTAACCTTGGCATGCTTCAGCAGGCTGCCCTTCTATTGTGAAGAAACATCCATGATAGATAAGATATAAGTAACTTACATTGCTATTCTTCAGATATTCGTTAGTTCCTTATATTGCTGCAAAAATTATTCTGCCTTACATATTTGCAGCGGCTGATGTCTTGCATGAAATGTAAGTTTACTCAAAATACAGGTTTTTGCACATTGCTAAAAAGCTGAATCAAAGCTGAATGTCTAATATTCATTTTTTACTGGCATGGACTTTGAGTTATCTTTACAGAGAACATTCATTTCTCCTTCCCCATCGTCCTGCACAATTTGGAAAGCTGGAGAAAACATAAGATATGTATGGAATGGGAACAAAGCATGGAAAAATGCTAGTGAAAAACGTGCCAGGCAGTACCATGTGCCTAAAGCCATCCTCCATTTTACCTGTTGAGTGCATTGCACATCTCAATGGTGACCAAGACGGACAAAGCCATAGTCATGGGGACAGAGGACTCAAAGATTTCACAGTCCAAGCCATCAAAGGAAGGGTGGTCATCTGTACATTGCATGAAATGGGACTAGGAGAAGAAAAGAAGATTGGGGGAAACGCGAGATTAAGATGAAACAGGGCTTTTCCAAATTAAGAAATCCTTCATTCCTCATACGATACTTCTGTTCTGGATCAGCCAGTTAGATGGGATCTGTATGTTAGAATGTTTGGCATTTATAGGGTTAAGCGCTATCTCCTTAAGAGATGGCTTATGGGTAATGTAGTTTAGCTATTCAGTGAATCCCATGTTAACAAGTCTGTAGGAGGGGCTACTAAGTTCATCACAGGATATCCTGGCTACGTGCCAGTTTGGAATGTCTTTGTCTGAGATAAGCATGGGATCACCGGAGGACACACACGGTCCTAACCCACGCTAGAAGTTAATGTGAAGGAATTATTGATTTTTACTGTTCTGGAACCTGAATCAAGATGCTTTGTAATTCAAGGCCAGACAGATAACTCGATAAAGATAATTGTAAAACAAATATTTATTCAGGAATACTGCTGAACTCACGCTTCTGTAGTTTCATCTGGATGTTGCATATTTGCATTGGTTCCGATGAAAGAATCAAAGGTCCACCAGGCATCCCAGTAGCCATTAAGACGGAACTTGGATGGGCCATCGGAGGGTCGGTCTGTGTTGACCAACCGCAAACTCCAACCCAGGTGAATATCTCAAGAACCTCCATTCTCAGCAATGGAAGAGATTTCCACCTAAAACCATCCCAAGAACACTTCACGCTTGCGACAACCAAACCCGTTTTGGAAGCAACAGTGTTCCAGACCAGTGAAAGCCACAATGACTCAGCCTTGGCCATAGTGGACAAACAATCTCTGCAGCTACGCACGTTGTCCCAAGGCACTACACATTGGGACAGGGCGCGTCTGCCAGAACAAAAACAAGACTGGGAGTCGTGGAGTACACTCCTAAGATGTCTCCAAAGCATACACGCACAGCGCACGTATGTCTCCAGCTCACCCGCCACCGTACAAAAGAAAGAATTGTACGCTTCCTCAGATGTGTCAACGAAGGTGAATGCAGCCTTAAGATACATCACAGTCTACAGCGGGGAGAGCTGCAGTGTTGATGTTGTCTTTGGAAAAGCGAGACTAACAATACAACAAGGCCACAACGTACCAAGGTTAGAACTCTGTGGTACCATATTGACAGCAAAACTCACCAAGCTGACAACGAAAATGATAGGCCTTGAGCTACAGTCCACCACCTTCTACACAGACAGCAAGGTGATGTCAAGCTACATCTGCAAACAAAGCAGACACTTCTACGTCTATGTAGGCAATAGAGTAGAAAAGATTGAAACATCTCTAAGCCCTGAACAATGGCAACATGTGCCAACAGATAAGAACCTTGTGGACCAAGTTAAGTGGCCCACCTTTGCATCACAGTTGACAGAATTGATCTGGCTAAAAGGTCCTGAGTTCTTGGCTTGTCCAGACAGCCTGATGCCACTGAGACCAAAACGCTATATGCTTCCAGCTCCAGATCAACATGCCAACGTTCAACCTCAGGCACCCAGTAAATCTCTCAGACAGGACGAGAAAACGATCGTCCAGACCATCTGCTTGTCCTCAATGGGCAAAGAGACAGAGAAACCACCTTCTAGCCAATTCCTAGAACCAGCCAGCTTCAAACCTCTAAGCGGAGACACCTGAGATTGGGCATAGTATTGATCATCCTGATCACTTGTCTTAGCATCCCAAGAACTAGCTTTATAGGAGCCTGCAAGGACTTACAGACTATTGAAGGTATTCGTCATGACACAGTGATTGACAAATGCCTGAAGGCCAAAAATTACCCTCCCCATGCATCTCACATGGGCAAAGCGTGGGAGCACATGATTGGCGTACCCCACAAAATCATGGACTCTATGTCGTCAAAGACACCCACACATGAAGTCCTCACTACCCTCATGACAACAGTAGCAGCCATCTTCAACGCTCCACCGGTGGTTCCAGATCCTTCGGTTCCTGAGGATCCTGAGTATCCTGCTCCTGCTGTTCCTGAGTTTCCTGTGTTTCCAGCTCCTGCTGTTCCTGAGTTTCCTGTGGTTCCAGCTCCTGCTGTTCCTGAGTTTTCTGTGTTTCCAGCTTCTTCTGTTCCTGAGCATCCTGTGATTCCAGGTTCCTTTGTTCCTGAAAAATTTTGGGTTCCAGTTTTTCTGTTCCAGAAGTTCCTTTTGTTCCAGTTTCTTCTACAGGAAGAAGACCTTGTCTTGCTGAGAGACAAAGACGCATACCAGAACTCTTGGCCCATGGGATTTGTGCACCGGGCCCCACCCTGTTTTGATGGACTAGTTCACCAAGTTGAGGCCCAGATCGTGAAGCCACATGAGTCAGATTGTGACTCAAAGACTCTTACACTAGGCCAATCACCGACCTGGTCCTGTTGCTGAAGAAAATCGAACTGGAAGATTGAACCTCAAACTATGTATTTGTGTTTACCTCATGATTGCATTGTTTGATGTAACACCTTGTGTATTTCTGTTATAGTTGTGCATGTTTTTATATTTACCTTATAGTTATGCATGTTTTGATACCATGTTTTGCCTATTGTAGTCACTAGTTAGTTAGCAATGAGAATTGCATGCTTCAATGCTACGTCTTTTGCTTATTTCAGTTAGTTAGTAGTGGAAATTATATTTCCAAGCGGGGAGTGTTCTGGATCAGCCAGTTAGATGGGATCTGTATGTTAGAATGTTTGGCATTTATAGGGTTAAGCGCTATCTCCTTAAGAGATGGCTTATGGGTAATGTAGTTTAGCTATTCAGTGAATCCCATGTTAACAAGTCCATAGGAGGGGCTACTAAGTTCATCACAGGATATCCTGGCTACGTGCCAGTTTGGAATGTCTTTGTCTGAGATAAGCATGGGATCACCGGAGGACACACACGGTCCTAACCCACGCTAGAAGTTAATGTGAAGGAATTATTGATTTTTAACTATAAACTATAAACAAATATGCAACATCCAGATGAAACTACAGAAACGTGAGTTCAGCAGTATTCCTGAATAAATATTTGTTTTACAATTATCTTTATTGAGTTATCTGTCTGGCCTTGAATTACAAAGCATCTTGATTCAGGTTCCAGAACACTTCTGTTCTTGTCTCCCACAACTTAGAGCAAGGGTGTCAAACTGCCAGCCCGCGGGCCGGATGCGTCATGCCGAAACTGCACCCACCCCAGCTCCGGCAATGGGGAAAAAGTCATGATACGTCGCGATACGTCACAAGACGTGGCAAGTTTGACACCCCAGACTTAGAGCAATCAAAACTCACCAACTGATGGTAAGACACTCCAGGTCCATCCTCAGCATATATGAACCACCAGGCAGCAGCCCCAACAGTGGCCGCTCCGACGTATACTGTAGGTGAAACAAAAATGGAAAGATTATTGTGAGCAAAGAAAAGGCCAGTGACAGCAGAATGAGGTATTTCCTCAAGGATGACCGCTGAGAAACTGGAATGAAAGGGCTGCATTGGTTTTTTCCTTGCACCTTGGTGGCACAGTGGTTAGACTGCAGTATTGCAGGTTAATTCAGCTCACTGCCAGGTGTTCGATCCTCACGGACTCAAGGTTGACTTAGCCTTCCATCCTTCCAAGGTCAGTAAAATGAGGACCCAGATTGCTGGGGGCAATAGGCTGACTCTGTAAACCGCTGTAGAGCCCTATGAAGTGGTATATAAGTCAAAGTGCTATTGCTATTATTTATCTGGTGAATGCATATTTTGCCCTAGCCTAATGGCTCTGTTTGCAAACATATACTAATAAATATGAACAAAATGCAACTGACTGAAGAATAAACCAAAGATAGCCTAATTGTACCAGGCTAGGTCGTGCAGAAGATTTGTGCTTGCCTGGGATTTTGGAGATGATACAGATTGCTGAGCTGAGATTACTGTTAGGTCACATAAGACAAGGATGAGGGTACAGACTTGAATTCACAGTTAGAATATAGGGTCAAAATGTATGATATAGGTCCAGAGCTAGACCTAGGCAACAGCTATGGAAGGAAAGCACTTACTTCCAATGGCCATGTAGCGGAAGAAGAGCCAACCACTAATCAGGGGCTCCTTGGGGCTGCGAGGGGGCTTGTTCATGATGTCCAAATCAGGGGGGTTAAAACCCAAGGCAGTGGCTGGAAGCCCATCAGTCACCAGGTTCACCCACAGCAGCTGTACAGGGATTAGGGCTTCAGGGAGACCGAGGGCGGCTGTGAGGAAGATACTGGAATGGGGAGAGGAAGAGAAGAAAGACAAGCATGAGATCAAAGAAGTCTCTGGAAGTTAGGAGCATGTGACATCATCATCAACACTTAGGGGGACAGCTCTCCCCACCATAGTTACTCGGTATTTATTTGCCCCTCTGCAAAACCATTTTCCAGACAACCTAGTTTAGCTTTGAAACTGACCAGATGACAGTAGGCGAAGTCCCTTACCAGACAACCTCACCCACGTTAGAGGAGATGAGGTAGCGAATGAATTGTTTCATGTTATTGTAGATGGCCCGGCCTTCCTCCACCGCAGCCACAATAGTGGAGAAGTTATCATCTGCCAACACCATTTCAGAGGCAGTCTTGGCCACGGCAGTGCCAGAGCCCATGGCAATTCCAATTTCAGCTTTCTTCAGAGCTGGGGCATCATTTACACCATCACCGGTCTATCAGGAGACAGAAAGGGAGGAAGGGAGGAAAGAAATAGAGAGTTAACTGAGATATACAGAAGTAAATATTGGAAAAACCTCATGTTCTAAGAACAATCCTCCTTGATGAGGGATGTGATTGCATCACTAGGTGGTCCTCCATTTCAGAAAAGAGCTGAGGCAATTAAAAATATCTTAAATGAGCAATTCCTGAAGGGAATCCCTTAAATATTCCCTGATGCCTCCTAATGACATCATGCTCCTGCAGAGCTCCTCTTAAAAGGAACAGGGCTCTGTTATTTTTATTATTTTAGCATTTATTTTAAATTTTATTTTAATTTAGTTTGATTTGATTCCTGACCAGTGGTCTGCTTCTGTATGCATTTTTAAAAGTTGGGTGAACTCGTTAATTAATCCTCAGATCAAACGTGGGAAAAGGGAGAAACATAGAAAGATCTCTTCCCTAAATAGCTGAAATGAAAAGAGACACTCATTTGTTCACACAACAGTCAGTTGGGGAAATGGTCAATTATTTCATCTAGTAAATTTCATTCAGGATTTCATTCTTTTTAATGAACATCAGGTTACAAAAATTTAAACAATCATACGTCTCTTAAAGGCAGTCCTCGACTTTGCAACCATTCTTTTAGCGACCATTTGAAGATACATTAGCACTGAAAACAGTGACGTACGACTGGTCTTCGCACTTATGACCATCACAGCATTCCCATGGTCGTGTGATCACAATTTGGGTGCTTGGCAACTGGCATATATTTACAGCAGTTGTGGCATCCTGGGGTCACATAATCAAAATTTGCAACTTCCAGCTGACTCCCAACAAGCAAAATCAATGGGGGAAGCAGGATTTGCTTAATGACCATGTGATTCACTTAACAACTGCAGTGATTCACTTAACAACCATGGCAATAAAAGTCATAAAATCAGGCAAAAGTCACTTAACAACCACCTCACGACAGAAATTATGGTCCCAATTGTGGTCATACGTCGAGGGACTACCTGTACTAGATTTCCCTAGCGCCTATTCAGTCATCCGGATGTAATGGTGGGTAGTTCCCAGCCCACCTATATTCCCCTCTATTCACCATGGCAGTGATCTCATCGAAGCTCTGCAGGAACTCCACAATCTTTGACTTGTGCGTGGGCTCAACCCGCGCAAAGCAGCAAGCTCTTTGGCAGGCTTCCCGTTGCTCAGCAGAGGGCAAGTCGTCAAACTCCCGGCCGGTGTAGGCCCTGCCAGTCACTTCTTCATTTTCGCCAAAGATGCCGATGCGGCGACAGATGGCAATCGCGGTACCTTTGTTGTCGCCGGTGATCATGATGACGCGGATGCCAGCTTCACGGCACAGTTCAATGGATCCTGAGACTTCTTTGCGGGGAGGATCCAACATTCCTACGCAGCCCACAAAGGTCAGGTCATTCTGCGAAGGTCATAAAAAAAGATTACCACCTGGCCTGTAGAATCTACTAGCCCCCACACTAGGTAACCAACATCTGGCCTTTATATCAAGTTTATACCATGCCAAAGGCTGGAACGTTTGCAATAAAGCCAAATACAGTTCGAGATGAATTCTCTGATCATCTTTTCCAAGAGCTGTGAAAACATGGATCTTCAGAGAGGCATCTGGGAATGTTTGAAGATTTTGTAACCCAAATGCTGACACATCAAGTGTGTATGGTTTATGTTACTTGATTTTTTTTAATAACATAACTTGTAATTTGTAAGCTATTGGGTTTCTTTGAAAATGGAGCAATTTACAAGCTAAAGTAATGAATAAATAAAACTTTCCATTGAAGAGTTCTACTTTAATACCGTGGCTTGAGGGGAGAATTGGATCGAAATATCCACAGAGTCAAAGCTTATGATGACGGGAAACTTCTCTCAGACTACCTAACTCACAGCTCACTTGTGCATATAGGAGGGAAAAAAGTTTTATATGCTAGCTCAAGTTTCTTGGAGAAGAAATATTGAAAATAAAATAAAGAAGAATTAATAGGAGATAAACTAGGAACAGAGAAAAGTAAAAAGTGGCTGGCTCCCACTTTACTGTTCATACAATGTGCTGGACCAAAATATCAGTGCCAATTTTTGTTTTGGTCCCTTATATTACCTAGTCCAGGGGTAGGCAACCTTGGCTCTTTTATGACTTGTGGACTTCAACTCCCAGAATTCCTGAGCCAGCATGGCTCAGCTTGGAAACCTCTCCCTTTCCCCTCAGCATGGATGGCTCAGGAATTCTGGGAGTTGAAGTCCATGAGTCATAAAAGAGCCAAGGTTGCCTACCCCTGACCTAGTGTGACTTCAAAAACAGAATTTATGGTTCAGTGGCTTGCATGAACTAGGTAATGATGATTTATTCAATAAACCATGGTTAAACACACCATGGTTTGCAATATGGTTGCATGAGCACATTGCTTATATACAGTGATGGGATTCAAATATGTGAATAACCGGTTCTCTGTGTGGATGCCGTTTCCGGAAGTCTGTTCTGGGCCTGGGCAACAAAAAATTAGGTACCGGTTCTGCCGAAGTAGTGCGAACCGGCTGAATCCCACCACTGCTTATATGTCCAACGCCTGGCTTGCTTGGCATGTTGTCCTTCAGAGTTCTCAAGAAGCAGAGCTTGAGATGAAGGAATTGCTCTTAAGTGACTAAACATAAACTAATTACCTTCCATTTTTGCCACCAGGACTTTGGTATATGTTTAAGGGTCATGGACACAGGCCATTCCCACACTCCATAATCAAGTTATATAGTATCTAAAGTCAATCAAGGTTTTTTTTCAGCCACAAAGTATGCATTTCCTTTTGTACACACTTGTACATGTTAAAAATCCTTACATTTAAATTACTATATTTTCTTAAAATGTATTTACTGAGGTTTATATTTCATACTGCCCTGAAATACTGTTTAATTCATTTTCATCATTTCTTTTGCAAGAGGTTCCCTACCCCTGGAAGCTGATCTGGGAGTTTTTGCTACCCTTTGAAAACTGCCAGATCAGCTTTCAGGGGCAGGGATCTCTTACAAAAGAAAAGATGAAAATAAATTAAACAGTATCTCAGGGCAGTATGAAATATAAACCTCAGTAAATACATCTTAAGACAATATAGTAATTTAGGCTAAAATGCACACAACATCTTCAAAGTAAACAGTATTTACAATGTTGTAAAAATGTCGTATCCAACCTTGGCAACTTTAAGACTTGTGGACTTCAATTCTGGGAGTGAAGTCCACAAGTCTTAAAGTTGCCAAGGTTGGATACCCCTGCTCTATAGTTTTCATTAATAATCTACCATCAGTTTTACCTCATATTCAATAAATTTGGTGGAATCTTCTAAATACATGTCTTCTTTCTTTGGTGGGGTGTCTCGAGTGGCCAATGCCAAGCAACGGAGAGTATCCCGTCCTGTACCCCACTCTTTGATGATTCCCAATATGTGGTCCTTAACACTGGCAGTGAGGGGAACACGTGTGGTGCCCACACGAATATAGTTACAACGATCAATCACACCCTCGGGGGCACCCTGTAAAGACACAACAAAAGTAACAAGCATTGTCACTTGTGGAGAAAGTGGATAGAATAGCAAGCAATGTGACAACATAATTGTCTAGACCAGGTCATAAAAATTTAGCATAGAAGTTCTCTTTCCTTTATGTGGAAGAGTAAGTGGTAGATATAGTAATCTGAAGGTCCATCACTGAACTGTATGATTGCTGAAGAAGGTTCAGATACTGAAAATCTATCCATTATTTCCCCCTTTCCCCCTTTCCCTCCAATCGGACCCGGATACCTTCGAGACCGCCTCCTGCCGCAGATCACCTCCCATCGACCTGTACGCTCCCATAGAGTGGGCCTCCTCAGGGTGCCGTCGGCCAAACAGTGCCGGCTGGCGACCCCAAGGGGGAGGGCCTTCTCTGTGGGAGCTCCCACCCTCTGGAATGAACTGCCCCCAGAGATCAGGGTTATCCCTGATCNCTCGCAGGACTGGCCTAGGGTAATTTTTAGAGGGGTTTTAATCAATAATTTTAAATTGGACAATTCTCTAATATTCTTTTTAATTAATTTTAAATCCGTATTGTTATTTGTGTATTTTAATTGATTGTCCGCCGCCCTGAGTCCTACGGGAGAAGGGCGGGATATAAATCTAAATAATAAATAAATAAATAAATAAATAGGAGAAAACTTACAAATAAGAACAAAACTCCATACATATAAATCTAGCTACAAAAAAGACGAGAGTGCCTGGTCTTCTCTCTGATATGATGGTCCATGGAAAGATTCCAGGCTAAGTTGAATGCCAGGCTAAGTTCCACCTGAACAGTTACCATTTATATATATCAGGTAGTCCTCGACGTATGACCACAATTGAGCAAAAAATTTCTGTTGCTAAGCGAGACAGTTGTTAAGTAGGTTTTGCCCCATTTTACAACCTTACTTGCCACCATTGTTAAGTGAATCACTGCAATTGTTAAGTTAGTAACATGGTTGTTAAGTGAATCTGCCTTCCCCATTGACTTTGTTGTCAGAAGGTTGCAAAATGTGATCACATGACTCTGGGACACTGCAACCGTCGTAAATATGAACCAGTTGCCAAGCATCCAAATTTTGATCACATGACCAAGGAGATGTTGCAACAGTCATAAGTGTGAAAAAGGTTGTAAGTCGCTTTTTTCAGTTCCATTGTAACTTCGAACGGTCACTAAATTAATTCTTGTAAGTCAAGGACTACCTTTGGACAAGTCAACTAGAAAATTCTTTATTAAAGTTAGAATAGAGGCTGAGAGAGAATTCCTATTTCCCCTTGTGGTCACTGAGATGGGACACAGAGAAGCGTACTACCAACCTTGACAAACATTTTGTTACCAACAGCAGCCCTGGAAGCTTTGGCTGGAGAGCAATAGACAGACATGGACTTTCTGTCACGAGAGAACTCTAGGGTGAATTCCTTCTTCATGAGTTGTTTGATCACCTGAACAAATGCAAAGCAGAGGGAGAAAAAGAGAGTTAAACCTTATTTTGCTTTACAAGCCAGAAGAACCAAAGCAAATGAATGGGATGAATCCAAGCAATTGGTCCTCCAAATATACTAGGCCTGGTTTCCAGTATTAGCCCAACACAGAGGGCATGGTCATCTCTGGAAAATATGTAATGTGAGAATAATCATCTTTTTTGAGCCTTAGAAGAGACATAAATGCACCCTGATAAGGCCATCAGAGGATGGTTATTAAGATTACAAGAAAACAAATATATATTTTCAGTAGAAAAAAGTGAAGGAAATGATTGGTCCGTTAATGGGTGAAAGTGGCAAGAAGGTGACAAGCAACAGGGAGAAAGCGGAACTATTTAACTCGTTTTTTGCATCTGTCTTTACACAAAAGGAAAAAACAGACCAACCTATCAAAAATAGTGCCATAAAAAACAGAATAGAAACACAAGTCAAGATAGGCAAGAAAATAGT